CCGTCTCTCTGAAATAGGTTCTCCATCTCTCGGTAATATATTCTGGTCTTCTTAACGTCCTACCAAGTTAGTCCTTGATATGGAGAAAGTGCTTCATATCTTTTGTGGACTCTGTTCTTCTTCATGCTACCCGGTATATCACGTTCTTCCTCGCAAAACTCCAGTCTCTTAGTAGTAGCTCTTTCATGTACACCTGTTTTGCCTATTTTACAGAAGTTTTCGCGGCGTGTTCGGCTTTTTGGTGTGTCTAGCGATCCTCCTCCGATTTTGTCTTTTCGCTTGTACCCTCTTTTCCTTTATGACTCCTTGCACTTCGTCATTCCACCACCACGTTTCTCGATCGATTCTTCTTTTCCTGGCTTTGCCTTCCCAAATCATCTGTGTTGATTTGGTGGACGATCTTTCAGAGGGGAAGTTGTTAGTAGCGCTTGCTCAGCCGCTCTGCTGGTCTTCAATCTCCACCATTTGATGTGTGACCTGGTCTCTGTAGCTCTGCTGATGTACCTGGTCACTGGGACTGTGACGTAGAGAAGCAGTGGTCTGCGTTGAGGTATGCAGCTTTCACCGAGAATGATTTTACGTTGACTTTAGTTCTTTACGTTCTTGAAGCTACGCTGTCGTATAGGTTAGAAGCCTATTTGCGACCGCCGGTCGCAATTGGTGTATGTTATGAGGTGGTCATTCTTTTTGATAAAGTCTGTGTTCGCCAAGGCCAGATGAGGCGAATTCCAGAATGCGCTTTCTTCATTGCATGTTCCTTATCCATGGCCTCAGTGACATTTCCCGGTTCCTTCCCGCCTTTCTCACCCATGTCGTTGAGGTCCGCTTCTAGCTAAGCGCGTAACGTCAACTGTACAGGGTCCAAAAATTGTGCCTTGTTTGATTGTTAATAACTCTCTCGTCATGAAATCTTTCGAGAAAATTTAGGTATCATTTTGTAGGGATTGCTTCAACTTAGACAGTAGCGAATTACCGATCTTTTTCCATTATTGTAGGATTAAGATAAGAACTCGAAGTTCTGAGGCCACTGTGAGATAGGCGTTCGAGAAAAATTCTTCGAAAAAAAAAACTGAAAAAATGTGTAACAAGGTTATCATGCATGCTCTTTTCACTACATAACTTTTTGCGGGTTCGCGGAACTTCTGAAATTGCGTAAGTGAATTTTTGACAGCTATCAGAAATCGATTACGGTACATATGGCGTAACTTATGAGAAAAACGCTAGGGTGAAATGCGAATTTCATATTTGCAATCAGCAACTCTGATCGGCCTATTGTCTGAGTTTTCAGCTTCTTTAATCTTTTTCAGGACAATATGACTCTTGATGACGCAAAACCCTCCTCAAAGTTCCTACTGTAATCCTGCAGTAAGAGATCGCTAGTTAGCTCCATACTGTAACAAAATGGTACCTGAAGCTTTTCGAATTTTTCATAACAAGAGAGATATTGCAGGTACTTAGGTACTCTTTTAACACCATGTATTGCTTCTTGAAAGAGTCCGGGCAACATTTCGAACAAAATTTTTTCGGCCTACCTGGGCTTATTTTTCACGCTGATATCCGAAAATGCAGCTGCAGAGTACGAAAATGTCAAAACGGGCTATTCCAGAAGCCGCTGATTTTAAATATGGACCCTTGCCACAGAGGTTAAGGCGCAGACGTGGTGGGACCCTAAAGTGCGGTTCATAATTATACGAACACTCAAAATTTTGTAAGTTTTCGGACTTTTTGGGAGAAACTCAAAAAGCGGTTGGTAGCACGAGATAGAACACAGCCGAAAGCGGTATATGATTCATAGGAATGGAAACCGATGTCAATTGTAGGAGTGTTTTTGCGTCTAATGCGAATTTTTAGCGGTTCATAATTGTACGAACACCTCAAACAAAGATCCATTTTTCATTCAAGATTGCAATCGTTTGAGTCCAAATTTTTTGAAAAATTACAGTAACAAAGTCTGACATATCTGCTACACACTGAACCCAGTGCAGTTCAAAACGAGGACCGTTACTTTTTTCAGAAGGCTCTAAATGCTTTTGGAGTGAATGGGCTCTAAAAACATCCGTTCTTCTGTGATTTGCGCGCTCTAATTAGCTTCTACCAAAGCTATGAGATGAAATAAGCTCTTTCGATAGGTATTTTGTTTGACGCTTGGAAAATCTTTGCGTTTTCATGCCGTTTTTCAACCAAGTTCCAATCTTACCACAGAGTCAGCACGATTTCGAGCCTCAAAACTCAGCTTCTCTCTTGCGCAAACATTTGATATGAAGCAGCTGCATTGCTTGCATGATAATATTTCTGTGCCAAAGTTTTTGGGTTTTTTCTAGAACTGATCTTGCGGCTGTGGGGCTACAAACCAAATAAAGGTGTGATTGCAATAGTAAAAACAGTATTTCTGGTGAAATAACGTCTGCGTGACCAAAACAAACGCTCAACGCTGCTGATTTTTTCTACCCAAATATTAAGTCTTGTGAACTTCTACATATTATATGCTTACTTCATTGTACGGCTTTAGGAGCTGAGTTTTGAGGCTCGAAATCGTGCTAACTCTTTGGTAAGGTTGGGACTTGATTGAAAAACGGCACAAAACGCAAAGATTTTCCAAGCGTCAAACAAAATACCTATCGCGAAATCTTATTTTATCTCATAGGTTTGGTAGAAGCTAATTAGAGCGCGTAAACCACAGAAGAACGGATGTTTTTGGAGCGTAATCACTCCAAAAGCATTTAGAGCTTTTGAAAAAAGTAAGGGTCCTCTTTTAGAAATGCACTGGGTTTAGTGTATAGCAGATATGTCAGACTTTGTTACTGTAACTCTACAAAAAATTTGGACTTAAATGATTGCAATCTTGAATGAAAGATGGACCATTGTTTGAGGTGTTCGTATAATTATGAACCGCTAAAAATCCGCATTGGGCGCAAAAACACTCCTACAGTTGACATTAATTTCCATTCTTATGAATCATATACCGTTTTCGGCTGTGCTCTATCGCCTGGTACCAACGGCTTTCTAAGTTTCTCCCAAAAAGTCCAAAAACTTACAAAATTTTGGGTGTTCGTATAATTATGAACCGCACTTTATGTCTTGAATATGTGCGACATGCATACTCTGGCTATCAACTGAAAGAATGCCGAGGCCACGCCAGCGCTGCGCCGGCGCCGAGCCAGTGCCGAGCTGTCCTGTTTGTCTGGGGCGGAGCTAGCTGACCCTATGCGGGCAAGGGCTATCGGAGCTTCTGGCAGATTCGATCAATAGTCGGTGCATCTACGTGGCTGAGAACTAGGTCAGCTAGCCCCGCCCCAACGAAATGTACGTGTATCGATCGAAACAGCACCGGGGCAGCTCGGCGCTAGCTCGGCGCTGGCTTGGCGCCGGCGCAGCGCTGGCGTGGCTTCCGCACTCTGGCGGGAGCCAAAGGGGGGGGGGGGACGCCGGGGTCGACACTTCCGGGACCCCCTGTACGCTACGACGCTGCCTTTGAAATCTCATAGACAGCTATACCATTCTGGTGCAGATGGCACCGTTGTAGAAAAGCTTGTATAGCTAACTGCACGGAATCGACTGCACGGCTGAACGCCCGCGAGCGTGTCTCTTGCGGGCTAACATTGGCATTCGCGCACATGGGTCATCATAGCGAGGGCTCGGCACAGGTGGCTTGCAAGCAAGCTGAATATCGTTTTTGTGACGAAAAGCAAAGGGGGTATCGTTTTAGAGGCCGAAAAGACGCAAAAATCATGACGTTTTGTTGACGTTCCGTTTTTTGAGGGCGTTTTCACGTTTAGGGTTTAGGGTCAAAGGGTACTTCGTACAAAATCGCGAAAGTCAAGGGGGACTTCGTTTCTTGCATTTACCACCTCCGGCCGAGCCCTGATCATAGCGCCCGTACTCGGCAACTGTGCAGGCACTTGCGCGCATAGCGATTAGTGAGTTGCGGGTGAAAAAAACACGTCTAAAAGGCACGTAACTCGTCTTGAAAGTTTTCTAGGCACAGCCTCTGGTTCCGGAATCCTCTCCCCCCATGGAGCAATTTCAAACTTTGAATCATGGCGCGCTCACCCAAATACAACCGTAGGGCACGACAACGAATTTGCGCACCCTTAGCGGGCTTCACACGTCCAACCAATGTTCAAGATGACTATAGAAAATAACGTTATCGACATTTTCGCCCTCTCGAAGCTAAATTCCTGAAATCAACGGGACGGATAAGCACCGAAGCGGGATGCTTTCGAAAGGTTTTGATGGGATACTGCATTTAACGAGAGCGTCCTGGCAAAGTGATGGGTACTGGGGTTTTACGGCGTTGCACGGGCAGACCTCGCTCCCTCCCCCCCCCCCAACTAATCTATCAGCGAAGTCTGGTGCGAAAAAGCACGCCTGTAAAGGCTCAATTCCACTCCGGAAATCCTCCAGACTCTCGTTCCAGACCTTACTCAAATGTACTTTCTACCCAATGCGAACCCTCAGAGGTTCGAACAAAGAAACTCATTTTCGCCATGGTTCACTAAGGCGAGAAGGGTGGAGGACTATATGTCGCCAAATGTGGAAGCGTCCAGCGCGGATGCGGAAACGCATCTCCGTACATATTCGAGGGTGCGTATTTGTTGCAAATGACCGCAGGGACCACCCCCTTGGGCGACATATAGTCCTCTACCCTGGCGGGAAGGCTCCGAGATGAAGAATTGGAGAGCGAAATTTTGCCGGGACATTGCTGAAGGATGAGGACGAATTATCTGCAAAAATGACCCGATTAGACTCAAATTCAGCCAAAATTGTGATTTTGGCCCTTCTATGCGGCGGGGGGTCAATAATGTCCCTGCTCAAACTGGTGGTTTTGTGCGAAAAGTGTGCTGTTCGTGATTTGGCTGTAAGATAACTCATGCCAGATAACAGTCATGGGCAAATTTAGAACGAAATTACGACTTTACTGGAGGCCAGACAGCCGAAGAGCCCTTCTATTCAAACTTATTTTCTCATTCCATAGTGAACAGTTTGCAGGATGTGCTCACTTTGCTTGTGCAATCCGCTACACAATGTCCTGTCAGCGGGAATGCGCTTTGACCTGGAGGAATAGAGTTTGCATCGGAATATATGAGACCAATCTCCATAATGCCCGCGTCAAACTGCCTAAATGTCAAATTTTTTCCGTCAATTTTCTTGGCACTAATGTCTGACCTGAGGTCTGTGGTCACAACAATCTCAAAGCCGGAACTGTCATACACGCCTGATATTAGGTCGGGATTGTTGTAGTGAATCTCCACCTTGACATAGTCTTTTCCATTTGCACCGCCAAGAGGAAGACCGGCTTCCGGTGGGAAGTAGATCGGCTGCGAAATACCAGTTTTGAAGAAGGCGTATGATCGAAAACGTAAAAAAATACTTAGAAGTCTAAATGTGATCACAAAGTGGTCAAGATGAAAAATTGCACCACCCGAGACTGTGATGCCACTCATTCTCGTCTTCCACTCATTGTCAGTCATTTTCAGGTGACCATGCATAGTATTCCTACCCCTTCTCCCATCGCCCAAGCGGCTATGACGTGGCTGCACGATCTGGCCGATGATGAAGCTGTCAAAGCATCGCAGTTGCCACTGTATTCAGTCTGGTATTCGCTCTCGCACCGAAATATCTGAATTCATCATTACTGCATACCACAAACGGTGGGTAGTCTTCCATGAGAATAGAGAATGAGGTCCGTAGTAAACCCCTGTTCAGCCCAACTCGGCTGGGGGCGGGCCTACGTTGAACGTAGAACGACTCAGCCCGGCATCCAGTGAGCTATTGATCAGGATGCGGATCACTTTTTAATCCTAGAGATCTTGTGCGTTCTCAAAAAATAATCCCCTTGAGCGGTTTGGTCGAACGGCTAATTGAAAAGGTTTCAACGCGAAAGTCCATGGTTCGCAATCGGCTAGTGGCGAATTTTTGTGCCACCACAGGATAACCTTTGATAGCGGCCGTCATCGAGAAAAATCGATGGCGACCGCTATCAAGGATATTGCCAAGCAAACAAATGGATAAAATAAAGCAATCATATTTTTACGAAGATATCATGAAAAAACGAAATTGTTGGAACAAAACAAATGAAGCAAATCAAGAAATCCTTGTTTGAAGCAGTTTTTGAAAGAGAAACGTAAGCGAGCCCTGAAAAAAGAGAAATCCTGCTTTTTTGCTTTTCTCTCCGCTATCAGCTGTTCATTGATCCTTTCCCCTTTAGGCCGCCGAAATTGTGCAATTTTGGGAATTTTGCACCGCAGTAGTACGTCAGCTGAATTCTCCTGTAAGTTACTCACGAGCAACTTACGGGAAATTTGTCTGATCCTCCTCTTAAGCACACTATTTCTCTCGGGTCACCCGAAATTTCGACCTCGGATAAGTGGCATTCTGGTGAACTGACTGTGACACTTGACCAGACAGTCTTCTGACTGTTGAACTGACTATCCTAGAGCATGGGAAGGTGGGCGGGATTAGGTTCACCCGAGGAAGTTCTTCTGAATGACTAATCTCAAGTCACCTGAGATGAATGGGGGTTTACTACGGGCCTAAGTATCGACGCACGCCATCAATGGCATAAAAGAAATGCTCGCTACTGTACTCGACTTCTAGAAACCAGCCCATTGCAGATCTACAAAATCCCCTTTTACAGAAGACTAGGCTATATGACCATCTACGCAGCCCTCAGCTATAGATCAGGGAAAAAATTGCATATCAGCAAAAGCGTTGGGTAACAACACTGAAACTCGGAAAACTAATTAACAGAAACTTGGGTAGTTCTTCGGGTCTTGAAAAAAATCTGCACCATCAACTCACTTCCATATGGTGCACAAGGTTCTCATTGCCTTTTTTAATGGATGGATTTATCTGAACAGATTAAGGGTCAGACGATGTATTATCATACTGGAACGTCATACTTGGACAATGTGGTGCTTTCGACTGCTGAGCTCCGCTGGTATTCTTTCTATTATACACCAGTATGTTGTTACCACATTAGGTATCTGAAAATCAGAATGACGAATGCCTTTTATTCAAAAACCAAATTTTTGACTTACAAGTGCATCATCAGCCAACACCTTGAAATGAACTCCTTCGGGTTCTGGAGGTGCAGCTGTGTCATCCATGTCAATCAAAACAGCGAAACGCATTTCCTATTGTTCAACAATATAAGCAAAGTTACTCATGCTGCGGGAAAGCTTAATTAGCAAATGGTGTTTTACCTTCATGACAGAATCACTATTGAAATCTCTTGTGAATTCGAAACCACCTGCGATGATGAACTGTGTTGTCCCTGTCTGAATACTAAGCGCTAAAGGCAGCGTCTAGGCAAAATCTCAACTTTTTTTGCCTTATCCAGGCCTTTTCGTGACGGTGATTCCAAATATGGCCTCAAATTGCGTAAATTCCTTAAAGGCAGTGGCTCGGCAAATCTCAACAACTCAGGATTTTCACGCGATAGATTCCTTAGCGCCTAAGTTGAAAACAGTGCAATCCTGGTTGCACAGCATGCCTTCCCTGTCGAGAAAATTGCTCTCAAACTTACACGCGCAGGCCAATCGTACACGCGTCCGGACGAATTGGCAATTCCTTTCTCACCATTGGAGGCTGCCCGCCGCAATGCTGTAACCATTGGGTCCCGCAACGATACGGCGTCATCAACCTTGCTCCACTCGTCCAGCTCCAAAGGGAAGGGCGTTGAAAAACGCTCGCTTTCGCCGTTTTCAAGCTCTCAGAAGTGGATTTTCGGGATCAGTGTATTGAATAACCCCAGATAAGCAAAAATTTGACTAGGTTGATTTGCCGAGCCACTGCCTTTAAGGCAGTGGCTCGGCAAATCTCAACCTAGTCAAATTTGCGCTTACCTGGGGTTTTTCAATACGCTGATTCCGAAAATCCACTTGTGAAAGCTTGAAAACGGCGAAAATGAGCGTTTTTTAATGCCCTTCCCTTTGATATTGGACACGTGGAGCAAGGCCGATGACGCTAAATCGTGGCAGGACCCAATGTTTATAACGTTGCGGCGGACAGCCTCCAGTGAGAAGGAATGCCAACTCGTCCAGATGCGTGTAAGATTGGCCTGCGCGTGTAAGTTCGAGAGCGATTTTCTCGGCAGGGAAAGCATGCTGTGCAACCGGGATTGCACTGTTTTCATAGTTGGGCGATAAGGAACCTACCGCGTTAAAATCCCGAGTTGTTGGATTTTGCCGATCCACTGCCTTTAGAAACCCCATTTTTGAGACTATTTTGTGAGAAGTGTGGACGAGTGCCTCTAATGCAGTCCTTGTCAAAAGCAAGCAATAACAGGTTGACACTATGCGTTCCACTGTGCTTGCCACGTGAAAACACGTTAAAGGCTGAGGAGACTTTGTTCAATAGGGCGGGCAGTGCGAGGGAGTGGGCGTGGTCCTCGAGACTCGGCATTTTCTGCGCCGATTTTCTCCTTTAATAGGGTGTGTACAAAGGTCGGGCATGTGCGATATTTCTGGATCGAGGCCCTACTCAGACAGTTGGAGCGTGCAGCGCGCGTATAGTCACACGGTGGCGCAACACCCAGTCCGCGGGACATTGGATGCCGCACCGCGCTGCTGGTTCGCGGTTGGCTGCCACTTTCCAGTTTTTCGTTGCGTTGTATACACACGTCTTGATAATCAGCTCCACACGTCATAGCTAAAAATATGAATTCGCATTTAAATCAAAGAATTCAGATCCAGCACCCATTCGCAATGCTACCGAGGGTTAGCGCTTGGAAGCAGCAAACAAGTTCTGTTTCTGCGACTGCTCATAAGATGTGGTCCCCAATCTGTTGAATGATGAGGCAGCCTAACCACTGCGTCGTACACTACGCGGGCATACCTTGCGCTTACAGCATGTGATAATTGCAGGCGGGCGGGCGCACGGGTAGAGTACAAATGCACGCGCGTGGCATGCTAGAAAATTAGGCGAGGGGGTCGCGAGATCGAACATAAACTTAGCGCGCGGGTCGCGGTGTTGGCCATTAATACGCTTACTGCACGCACTGAATGTCTAAGATGGCATCAGTGGCGTACCGAACCGGGAAGGGCCCCCCCCCCCCCTTATAAAAATGTGCAGAGGACTTGTATCAACTTGTGAATAATTGAAATAATGTTTAAAAATTTTTAAAAATTCAAATTAGCCTTGCAAAAAAACTTTTTCGGGGGGTGGTGCCGGAAAAATTTTGGGAAACATCCCAAAAAATTTTTTGGAGTGCATGGCTAACGCCACGCACCTTCAATGAAAAACAATTTTTGTCGCCCCCCCCCCCCCCCCCCGAGCCGATATCCTGGGTACGCCACTGGATGACACGCGCTCGGCATACTGCCGGACACGCCCACAGATAAGGCACGCGCTTTGCCGCATTGACCATAAACGCGCGTGCGCCGTACTCTCCAAATGTCTGAGTAGTAGTCGATTATGATAGTATCTTAAAATGTCCAAATCTGCCCAGACGCTGCCTTTAAAGGCAGTGTCCGGGCTAAAACTCGATTTTGAGATTTTGTGCTTACTTGGGCCTCTTCGCTACGCCGAATCCGAAAATGCACATTGTAGAGCGCGAAAATGGCGAAAAACGGCTCTAACACAGGAGGGAAATGAGCAGGTTGGCGGGGTCCTCCCCACTGCGAATTCACGTTCCCGGCTTCCGGAGTGACCTTCTCGCTTTCGTTTCAAGTCAATCATTCGCACTTGGCCGGTAGCGATGTTAGGACGGCTAGCGGAATCGAGAAAATCGCTCCAGGAGCTGGGAGCGTGAAATCGCACTAGGGAAAGCCCCGCCCACCTCCTGATTTTCCTCCTGCATTAAAGGCCTTTTTCGCCGTTCGAGCTTTCTAGTGTGGATTTTTGGACTCAGCATGGCGAATAGGCCCGGAAAAGCACAAAATCTCAAAATCGACTTTTTGCGCGGACACTGCCTTCAACGCTCCCTTCTAACAGTTGGCGATTATTCACCTCAAATGCAAAATCTCTCGTATCGCATGTTGCAAATCGTCTCCGAAACGCAAATCGATTGGACTGTTTCTTCTCTAACTGACAGTCTTGACTGCGGTCGAAGTGTATTTGGAAGTTTCCGTCGATATAACCATCCTGAAAGCGCGCAAGATTCTTATTTCCTTGAAAGCGGCAATTTCGCTCCAACTCGCCCTAAGTTTCCCTTCCTTATAAATGCAAACATCAGAATTATTGTATGATCCATGGTCAGAAAACCCTATAATGATGTATCCGAGGAGTATCGCTTCCTGAGCCACGTAGAACAACACCGACTGATCGGCATAATCAACTTTCCAATTCAGGTGGACAGTGGTCAGTCCTAGTGGCACGGTAAGCTAAAAAAAAGGTGTGTGAGTGAAGTTTAACGTCTCTTCTAGAGATAAACGTTTTAGGAGAAGTTTAAAACCTTCTACTGCATATTCTCCATTTCAAAGTCTGAATGTAAACATACAGTCGAGTAGATTTTCCGCTTAATATAGTGTGCTTGCACTGAAGGTGAAATGCGGTAAAATTTGCGCGTAAAGAAATAGCTACGCCTGTGACGCCGGCCATTTGCGCGCGCAAAATGTTGGCATTACTGGCGTGGCTACTCGTTCACGCGCAAATTTTACCGCATTTCATCTTCAGTGCAAGCACACTATATTAAGCGGAAAATCTACTCGACTGTAATACAGGCAGCCGAGGCTTTGTTGTGAGAAAAGTCGGGGTATAGGCCGTTCGGATTCTGCGCGGAATGCAACGATGTTGCGTCTATTGAAAATACTACGTGAGTGAATGGGAGAAGACGAAAAGCGGCGAGAGTGCACCAGAAAGAAGAGTGACGCGCAGTACACAATTCCGCACCCAGCGTCGGCGGCCTACAGTATTCACTAAGGAAAAACTGGTGACATTGATGTTCCAAATTCTGTAGCTATGGACAGAATAAGTATCGTCGACTCTAAAAATCGTGACAACGGTCTGCAGTGCGGCCAGTGCGCGCCGCACGGCACTGCCGCCTAGTGATTCGCCCAAATTACGTGGAGAAGGTGAGTTCTTGTGGTTTTTCTTTTTCTTTTTGCATCTTTTTTGCTTGCAGGAACTTTCATGGCTACCGCAGGGAGCCTACACTGCTGAGAAGCAAGATTGCCTTACGATAAAGAGGCAGTGCAGTGCGGCGCGCACTGGCCGCACTGCAGACCGTCGTCACGATTTTTAGAGTCGACGATACATGATTCTGCTGAGCAGCCTAATTTGCCTCTTGAACTGAGGTGTTCAAATGTCCTTCGGATCCTACTGGGATCAAATCCTGAACAATTCAAGGGCTTACCTGGCCATCACCAGTCACCAGGATCGTCAGTACAGTTATCACTGAGAGCCTCAGAAATGTCATCCCTGTATTTAGCCAGTTGATCTCATTTGTTTCCAAGCTTGCTTCACTTCGAAACTCCTGAAGATAGCATCCTTATCCCTACGCACAAGACATGCACATTGGTCGCTGTCAGACGAGAGATGACTCAGGCTCGAAGATTTGAATATCGCGCAAATCGTGACAGCAAATCAAGTGTGCATGTTTCCAAGATGAAATATCTTCTGTTCAGCTGATAGCGAATCTCTTCATTTTCTCTTTGCATAGCAGTATACAGTAATAAGAAACTCGACATCAGAACCAGGCACGAGGTGGCAAAAATCAAGCTGAAAATCGTTTTGAGAAGAAAAGCGAAAAGGGTATCGTAACTACACGTCGCAAAGTACGGTGTACTGTGAAAAAATTATGCGAGAAGGTTGTGACAAGTTTTTTTTCTGAAATTTCTCCATCAATGAAAAGTAGGAAAATGACTTGTTTGCAACACACATGAAGAAATTCGGCTCTAAATTTGTATATGCATAACATACAATACCACTCTCAGAATGTGCAAAATTTCCGTGAATGTTGCGAAATTCCGGGAATTCCGCGAAAGTCCGCGACGTTTCCGGAATTCCGCGACATTCCGGGAATTCCGCAGCATTTCGGGAATGCGCGACATTCCAGGAATTTCGCGGAATCCACGCGAATCACGCAAACTACACAACGCCATAATTTCCTTCGGAGTAATCATGTTTTGAATCCGAAAGCAGCTTTGTGTTCAGCTCGTCAAGGCGAATCTTCTGATGTACAGCATGTATTCGATATTCCGTTTACATTTTCTCAAATTCTTCTACGGAGGTCCGTCTTGCAAGGATGTAACGCAGCGCCTACTCAACATATAAGATACCTGCACGCACTATTCGACAGTTCTGTTCTTGTAGATTATAGCGCGCTAAAGTGTTGCCGCAGGCTTTTTCCCTAAAGCGATATAAGCGTTGGTGAATTCCGGAAAAATCACGCGTTTTCAAAAATTCGTCGTGACTTCCTTCGGAATGAATGTATTCTGAATCCGAAAAAGCATTGTACTCAGCTCTTCGAGGCGAATCTTTTGATATACAGCGTGCCCTTGATATTCCGATTTTAGAATTCCTAAATCTTTCTGTGGACGTCTCTTCGCAAAGGTGTAAGGCAGCGCGCATTGCTCCTAGTAGACTACAGTAAGGATGATTCGATAGTAATTCTTTTGTAGCTTGTGGATGGCTAAAAAGTATCCGCAGACTTCTTTCCAAAGGAGATAGAAGGGCTGGTGAATTGTGGAAAAAATCTTGTCGTCCCAAATTCAACTCGCCGTAACCCTAGAATACGAAGCTATCTTGCTAAGCAGGTGTGAGTTTCGTAATCAGCAGCTCAGATAACCTCTATGAGCAAGTTTTCCAAGAAATTCGGTTTTTTCATTTTTTCTCGTTTAACGCTCCGAAGCCTGCCGATGGGTTCCGGCTAAAATATTGATGATCTTAGATTGGACTGAAAGGAAACTCCGCTTTTAGAGGTTTTCGGACATGATGCTTACGAAAATAGTGGTCTTTGAGGAAGACAGGGTGTTATTGCAGAGGTATTGTGAGGTAAGTGTAACTGAGTTATGGAAGTTCGTAATTTCACCTGCACTTCTCGTCTGTCTGTCTGAGAATTTGCCTGCTTGCTTTTACATGTTGAAGTTAGTAGGAACGTGCCATCGAATGGTGCATGTCTCAGGCTCCAATCTACAAATCGCCGATTTACGAGCCTACGTAAACAAGTCCTCATGAATTTTGCCCAAAATATAAAGATCGCATACTTCGTCGAAATTCCAACGTGAATGGTTGTATAACATACTATGTACCATAAGTACCAGAGCTTCAGGTGTGGAACATACCATAAGTATGTTCCACACCTAAAGCTTACTATACTGACACATTTTGATCTGAGAGCCGCATGCACTAACATACCCGCCGGGAGGGGATCGCAGCTCAAAAGAAACCTCCATGTCCTGAAGCTCCAGATATCCTGGATTTCACGCTGTCTATCTGTCAGTAAGTATTCCCACCACCCTTCACTATGAACTATGAACATATTAAACAGAAGCGAGGAGCTGTATAAGGTACATTTCCCATCTTTTTACACGATCCCACTGATGATCCCCGGCGACCGATCGTTTTTCTTTAAAGTCATTTTTCTTTTTTCAAAGTCAATAAAAACATTCCAGAGTTATGCTGATTATCTAACCCAGTAGTGCAGAATTTGCTGATGATAATAAATGAGCTTTTGGAATAACTTTTCGATAAACCCCAACTTTCGACCTGAGATTCATCGAAAATTTAACTCCAAAACATCATTTGTTTTTATCAGCTCATGCTTGGCACGTTGAGTTAGATAATCAGTACAGCTTTAAGATGTTTTCGTTGACTTCGAAGAAAGAAAAACGACTTTGAAGAAAAGACTGTCGGTCTCGGGGGATCATTAGGGAATCCAAAAAAGCTGGAATATGCGGCATGTATAGCTTCTCAGAAGGATGGTGGGAATACCCACGGATAGGTAGACAGCGTTAAATCCAGATATCTTTCAGATTACGAAACTTTCTTTTGAGTTGCGATCCCCTCCCCCGGCGGGGATTTTAATGCATGGGCCCTAAACGCCCTTCGTCTCCTCTTTGCTGGAACCCAAGCAACGAGGGCGGTGTCCTTGAAGGCAGTGTCCGGGCAAAACTCGATTTTTAGTAGATCCACTTATCAGGTGTTATCCGCAACGCTGAATCCGAAAATTCACATTAGAAAGCGCGAAAACGGCAAGAACGTGCGTTTTTTGAAGCCTAACAATTAAAAATCTGACGATCCCCGCCGAGGCTGAGACGCAGACTCGCTGCGGGACCCTACGATTTCGACTGTGGCGGCATGCGTACTCTGCCGCATAAGAGTAATTGTAACCTCGTACTTGCGCGATGCTGTGTCTGAGGGGGGAAGCCACTTTCGCATGGCACTGATATCTCAAAACCCCAACTTGTCCTGACACTGCCTTTAAGGAGGGAAGAGCGCTTTAATCGAATGAATCACGCAGGCGCGATCAGGTGAAAAAACGTATAACTCGAAGGCGATAGAGCGAAATCGTTTCCAAGTTGCCCTGCCGCCCTCGTATTGGACCCCGACTTGATTCAACTTCGACTTACAGTCGCCTTCGGATGCCAAAGCACAGGATATCAAAACCAAATGTGTTCGTCGAAAATTCCCCAAGAAACCTTAAAGGCACCGTTCACCCAAAACGGGGTCGATGAGATTCTGATGCCTAACAGTAGTGGGTCCCCCAACTGTATACTCATCCAATTCGCGCTGGCAAAAGTTGCCTCCAAAGCGAGAAAATTGCTTCGAAAATCGCTCGGATAACAGATTTGCCACGTTGCTCCTCCCCTTTGAGTGGGCGTGACGTTCGTCCCGCCCATCCGTGCGCGCCCAACCAATCACCAGTCTGAAGAAATCGCTCTGTGGGTTCTGAAAACGGAGGTTTTTCGTGGTTTCCGTGGATTTCCGACTTGATATATGGAATCAGGGATATGAGAAGGCCCTGGAACGGCAAAAACATGCAGGTCGAGATTTTGGGTGGACAGTGCCTTTAAAGGCAGTGTCCCACCAGACTGGGGGCTATCTGGCTCTGATAGTAATGTAGTAGTAGACCCTCAAAATAAGGACGACAGCGCAGTTTGCAGCGCGAAAGGGAGTCTATGAAGTCTACAAATCCCCCCCCCCCCGCAAGTAGCCCGGATCTTACGGTAGGCTGGGCAAGTACGAGATGATGCAAGTAGAGATGCAGAGTCGTTGCGGGACTTTGCGCTCATGACTGTGTGCGCTATGCATGCTCTGGCGTTGTACCCTATTCTCAGGTGTATAAACCGCGGGGTGGTCCTAGCTTACATCGACCAGCCCGGATACATCAAAGGACTTCGCAACCAAAGGACCCTATACAGTGCTATGCATTGACTGAAAGAATCATAAGGATTGGATTGCTAAGGATTGCTGGAGGATTGCTTCTCGTAACACAGTAAAGTGGCTGAGCAGCTCGTTTAAAACTTTGAAAAAGTGCGGCTTATACACCTGAAAATAAGGTAGATCGAAATCGCTGTGCGGGCGGCATTCGGGCCTACCGTAAGATCCGGACCACTTTTGGAGCGAATTTCAGGCTTGGTAGACCCCCTTTTTCGCTCCGAACTTCAGGCCTCGCTTAGGTAGGTGGTCTACTTTAACATCGCCACAAAAACCCGGCACCCATTTTTTGCGGGGACGCTGCCTTAAAAGACATTACTAGACTGCTCTAAGCTGCTGATTTAAGGCATAAACTTGTATGTGACCGTAAACTCTAGCAAAAGCACCACTAGGTACAAGCAGCGGTATCTCGATAGTTTGGAAAAAACATTTAGCTTTTGGAAACCACTGTACTGCTAGAATCAGTGTTGCCAAAAACCATTCAATGAAGTTTTCAAATTCTGATGTATTTCTAGGCCCGTACATCCCACCGCTGAAGGGAGGGATGAAGACAGTTCACACCGTCTGTATTGAAAGAATTTTTATTATGAGAAGTGGTAATAGTGAATGGTGAATTATTCGATGAACCAAAGTGTGCGAGTGGGGGGGGGGGGGGGTAACCAGGGTCAAGCGTGGGGTGTGGCACGTCACACCTGAAGGGTCGTAGAGGGGTCAGGGAGAGGAGGAGGAGGGTGGTCGTTATCGAGTGATAGTGATGTTAGCGACAAGATGTCAGTCAACAATGTCTGATAGGCCCATTGTGCAAGATATCAGCACTGATGTTTTGCCCTACCGTCGTACGTGCACAGTAAACATATTAAAAAAATCCTAGAAACATAAGAGCATCATTTTCGTAACTAGCATGTCAAATAACCCCTGTGGGCCAAGTTTCAGCGAATTTTGAGATTTACAAATATTGGGACGCTCAAGTGAGGTGGTCATTTTCGAACATGCTAACTTTGTTTCAAAGGTGAGTAAACTACTTCTTTTTGCACTCAT